ATTTCATGTTGAAACTTATCATATATTGTAGCTCGGACCATTTGTAGTTCGATGAAAAAAAGGCTGAGCTGAAACCTCTTTACGCTGCAGTGAAAGAACTTTTTCCATATGAGTAGCTAAGGTAAAACATGGAGCAAGTTTTGAAAAAATTCTTTCACCACAGCGTAAAGAGGTTTCAGCTCAGCCTTTTTTCATCGAACTACAAATGGTCCGAGCTACAATATATGATAAGTTTCAACATGAAATTCAAAACTCCATTTTTGCTTGAGATCCAGGTCACATGGGGAAAATTCGAGATCCTAGCAACAAAGCTGTTTGCGCCGGAACCAAGTTGAAGTTCTTCATGGCCCATAAGAGCCTACATATTAAAAATAGTCCTATTCAAAGATGTTCAGAAGGTTTCCTCGTTAGAACTGAGTTTGACAAGTTTTGCTGAGATGCCATAATTTAAGGAAAACAGATATCGACCTGGAACGTGTGTAGGTCGATAGAGGATAGTTTGGCGAATGAAATTCATGCGTCGAAATGAATAAAAAGTCCCTTACTAATTCTTTTCGCAAAATTCCATTTGCTACTCCATAAAAATAAATATTGCTTTCTCAACCGAGATACTTGATTCCCCCCCCTCACATTAAAAGCTCACCCCATAATAGAAGCCCACCCGCATTAGAAGCCCAGTCTGGCAAGAAATTTTTTGAAAATTGCCCCTACCCTCATAGGGTACTTTTTGAGAAAATTTTGCCTTTCTTGCGGGACATAATAGACGCCCACTGGGCTTCTAATGTGGACGGGGGTTTAAAATATGGATTGTATCTCAGTTGAGTTCAAACCAACTTTCTATCATGACGACTATAATGGTGAGGATGATTATGATTCTAAAATCTATTATGTTTATTATCGGAGGTGTGTCTGTATACGAATGTTTGCCAAATAAATTGCATTCTTTGTCATTGATGTTACTCAGTGAGAAATAACGCGTGTCATGCCATCATAAATAGTAATAGCAAAGAGCATAACAACGTAATTATATAACGATGTTGTTTTTTCTGTTGTTTTAACGTATTTGTGTACTTCTTTCTGTTTTTTTAGAACTTTACCGTTTACACTATGTATATGAGCAATGCGTAGAATCAATTGTATTCAGTTTTTTTCTTCCGTTAAAAAATAAACTGCGTGTTGTTGTTTTTCTCATCTGTATAGGTGACACGTTAGCCAAATCACGAAATATTGACTGACTACTATTGAAAATACTCATGTGTACACATAAAGACACAAACCGTATAGAAAGAAGGACAGATTTTCACGCATACGCACAAATTTTTTAGATATTTAGTAACAAAATATTATATAACGTGTTCATGTTCTGTTCTTGTAAAATTTTTTAAAAAGAAACAAACAAATGAAAAGAAAAAAAAAATTATTTTATGTATACTGAAAAACGTCATATAAAATAGGACGTAATATTTTTTATATATATAGTAAAACAATAAATAACAGTATCATCAAACACGTGTTGCAGAAAAAACCGCTTCGTCGGACTTTTTGAGATAAATAACTTTTTCTTCTCGTTTTTTTATTCCTATTTAATATACGCTTAATATTAGAGGGACGAAATGTCTATAGTATTACGTTTATTATCTCTCTCTCGCTCTCTCTATCTATCTCTTTTTGTAATAATAAAAAAAAGAGAACAAAAATAACGGGGTAAAGAGTATATGTGAATTATCAATGTGCCACTCGTATGCTTTTTTTTGTTTCGTTTTCTTTTCACTTAGGCACGAATCGAAAATAGCTCTACCTCTAGTCAATAATAATCAGACTGATTAATATTTCTATTTCAAAGAGTAGTTCAAATGATTTTATTCTTAAAAATATATATTATATGTAATCGAAACTCTCAGATCTTCTGCCGTTTAATAATGAAAGAAAAACTTTATATTTTTTGCTAAAAACACAATATCCATCATCTTATATTCGTATCTAAAAAAAGAAAAGAGAAATTCATCGTGGACTCTAAATATACGTTCGTTTATGTTTAAAAATAAGCGCATATACAAAAAAAAAGTGAGTGAGCACATGGTAAACTTAAATTTATCATTTCTTTTGTGCAAACATCAATCTTAGAATTATGTCATATATACACGCCAGCTCAACACCTAGAAAAGTTATACAAAACACTTTTCATTTAAGTTACTAAGCTCTTCCTCTTACATTTTCACTAATGTAAGATATCCAGCTCCTTACGAAACTTTCATAAGTATAACGAGAAACAGCATATTGAATCATATTTACAGATAGAAAGGGATCACTTTTACTTAGGTTAAATGTTATTCGTAATTAGACGTAAAGAAATATGTCATGATTTATTCTATCGGTCGTAATATTCATAAAATACGCTAATATCTACTCATAGTCTCAAATTAAAATCTAATATAGCCAACAGAGAGAGTTCGTCGAGTTAATTATACTAACATCGAACAACACCCGTATTGTCTATAACACCAGCCTACAGGACTCAAACAATGTTCACTAACACTCAAATCGGATATCAACATCTCTACAACGTGCGTTTCTTTTTTAAATAATTTTTTCACAATATTTTATAGACTATCTGTCGTCAAGCTAATCCAAACTTTGTTTAGTGAGTATAAAACCATCTGTTGAACTCTCATTGCAATTTGTAGTAACACTATGTATAGTCCCATAATTTATCGTTACCTTTTGACAACATCATTAGATATTTGAATGCATGAAATAAACGATAAATGAAACTACGATACATGCTTTTGTCTATAACTTTTTTACATAATATCCGAAGATATTATATGAGGAAAGAAAACGTTTAGAATAATAAGAAACTGTTGAACAGATTGATTATTGTTCGAAAGTTGTTTTTATTAAAAATCGGTTTCATCGGAACAGTATCAGGAAGTATTTAACTTTTACATGATTTAGTACTTTCATCATACAAAAAGCGCTTTTTCAATCATACGTTTCTTTGATGTCGCATTTTTATTAACAGAGATAAGGAGTCGATTCTTCTAATTGGAGGTATAACGATGTCATGACGATAGAAAGGAAAAACTGTATGAATATAAATCATGTTTCTAGAAATATTCTCTTTTCTGTATTGAAATGACTAATTTTTAGAGAAGAATTATGATTCTAATTCATTTCTGTAGCTAAGAGATTATTGATTTTTATTTTCGAATCATTTTTTAGTGCAACGAATGAATTCACGATCCGATAATAATGAAGTGCTTGATTCTCACGTGATAAAATGTGAAGCCGATGGGGATGAAACATATTCAACAAACAATAATACTGTGGCATTACCAACGACTACGAATTTAGGCAATAATGATCAACTCGATTGTGTGGTATGTGGTGATCGTGCTACAGGTATCTTTTATGATTATTGAGATCAATGCTATCAGTTTTAACTAATAACTATTGTGAATTTAAGGTAAACATTACGGAGCAATTTCATGTGATGGATGTAAAGGATTTTTTCGTCGAAGTGTAAGAAAAAATCCTGTTTACGAATGTCGACATCAAAAAGATTGTATTATTGATAAAGATAAACGTAATCAGTGTCGACATTGTCGATGGAAGTATGTTTTCTGTAGCTAAGAGATTATTGATTTTTATTTTCGAATCATTTTTATCATTTCTTAGAAAATGTATCCGTACAGGAATGAAAAAAGATGGTAAGATTCTTAATCATTTTTTTTCAGTTTTGTTTATTATTTCTTTTATGTTTAGCTGTACAAAAAGAACGTGATCGTCTTGGTAGACAACGACATCATGATGAGTTTGACGAAGATGATGACGATTTAAGTGTGTCGGCTCTTGTGAGAGCCGAACAAACAGCTCAGGAAGTTCGTTTTTGAACTCTTTTCTGTTTATAGTGATCCATATGTATTGTTTTTAGTTTATTAACAGACAAATCCACTTAGATAAACATCCACACAATTCTGAACGTATTCATGCAACATTGGAGACCATAGGAGTTTCAATGAATTATCAGTTACGAAGTTTAATTGAATGGGCGAAAGATTTGAAAGGTTTTATCGAATTATCAGATAATGATAAAGTAGGAGTTGAAAAACGAAGACATATTCTATTAGATAAATAATCAATCTGTATTCTTAGATTGCATTGTTACGTGGACATACTGGTGAAAATTTAATACTAGGTGTCGCTTGTCGCTCATTACAGTGTGAAGACCATCTTATACTTGGAAATCATCATATTATTTCACGAAATGCACCCGATGAAGGTCTTAGACGTGCGGCTATCAGAATATTAGATGAAATCGTTAAACCATTAAAAGAAATTCAATTAGACGAAAAAGAATTTGCTTGTTTAAAAGCAATTGTTTTTTTTGATCCAGGTATACTTCGTTCTTCTTCGTCTTCTTCAACTGTAGTAGATATACTCTCTCATCTCATTTTGCTCATATAATTTAGATAACAAATCTCTTGCCGAGCCAAATCGTGTTAAAGAAATTCGTAAACGTATTCAAGTCAATTTAGAAACATATATTAATCAAAGTCAACCATTAATGAGAGGAAGATTTGGCGAAATGGTACTGGCTATCTCTTTTGTATTTATCTAAACTTTTAACACAATTTGCATGTTGTTTAGCTACTACTAATGCCACCACTACAAAATATCGCTCGACTCATGGTTGATCTTGTAGCAAAATATAATCAAGATACAAAACAAGTCGATGATCTCATTACAGAAATGCTTTTAAGTAAGTTGTTAATAGAATTTGAATTAAAAATGTATGGTAGCAGAGCGAGCGAGCATGTTGCGTTTAACATTTTTTTCCTAATAATGACACTTGAGGGATTTAGAAATAAAAACTTAGATTTTTCAGTTGATTAGGTGACATATCTTTATCATCAGTTAGATATCAGGATTATCGTGCATCAACATCGCCCAAAACATCATCAAATTATGATACAAGTAAGAAATGTTCTCTATTCCAATGCATACTACATACACTAATCAATTTCAAAAAGAAGTGAACGTATATATTTCTTTATTTTATTATTATTTTACATTATTCACTAAAGCCTAGCACTACTTTTTATTTTGCACGAATAACCGCACGCACATCCTCCAGTGAATTTTTTATCGTTATAGGCTTGATTTAAAAGTTGTACATACTGCTTTGGTGTTTATTAGGTTTCAGATTTCGTCTCTGAATCGAAAATAAAATAACTAATTTTTTCTATTTAAAACACTTGTTTGTTTACGTTAACTAACGAAGCTTACTTTGAAAAATAATCCATCATAACGAAATGATGCATGTTTTCGCTTAAATGATATCGAACTACATTGTAGTTTGTTGATATCTGAATAAACTTTTTTTCGATTTCAGTTTAAGAACGCTATCACTACTTATTCGTTTTGTATCACAAAAATGTTTTTTTTTTATAGTTTATTACTGTAATCTATGTGTCACACGTACATTTCTAGTATTGTAAGATCACTTTTTATCGTTTATTATAGATTCAAAAGATGATTTGGATTCGAATGATTCATCTGTTGAGATAATGGACGATAATTCTCAAGATGCTGCTGTCATGATGATTATGGAAGATATGTTACCGTATTTAACAAATGTTAATTTAACAACTGATTCGAATTCTGAAATATCAACAACTGTCAACCACCAAGATTTCCGTTTAACAGCACATGATCCAACTCTCAGTACATTAAATCGTACCTCATCTACGAATGATATCGATATTTTAGCACCTAATCAAACATCGACTGAAAACGATTATCATCAAAATATTTTCAGTTATACCGGACGTTCTAAATCCATATCGAATACGCTCACGTACGATTCGAATGATATCAGTTCTCTTTGTGATTTAATAACACCACCATCTCATCTTCTTTCGCATACAACAGGCGACTACAATCGAAGTATTAATACTCATCCGTTAACGAGGCATAATTCAATTCCGTTAAATCAACAGCAGTCCAATACAACTTCTAACTTTTTAAATTCTTACTCAACAACTACAACATCGTTATTTAATACTTCGACCCGAAATACAATCGAATCATCTCCAAAAGATATCGTCCAGTTTGATCAGTACCGTTCAAATAATAATCATGATCCATATCAACAACATGATATGGATTGGAAACTGAATAGTTACACACTACCATCTAATTTAAGATATTTAGCTCATGATGGGAGAGAATTTTCTATTAAAAAAGAAGAACATTCAACATCCAATTCACCTTTAACAAGAGAAAATCTTTTATGATGTGCAGTTTATTTTGTATATTTTCACGAAAAAAAGAGATTGAACTTAGTTGCGCGTGTGTGATTTCATTTTATACATATCTGTTTTGTTGTATCTTTATTTTACTGAACCAATGTATTTTTTTCGTTTTTGTGGTATTTTTATTTCCATAGCACTTGTGCTTGTATTTTTATTACTTGTGTAATTATAAACTCTTCGTAATTTTTTGTGTGTTTGTATCAACACTAAGTTGAATGTGTGGAAAAGAAGACAATATAAAGAGAACGTTTGCTTCTAGATGACACTGATTGAGAAAAGAAGAAGAATGTTTGAGACAATGAGATATTGTGCTTGATAAGTCAGTTTTCAGTCAACAACTAATTTTGATAAGAGTGAAGCACAGCATACGATGCACAAGTGATTGTCACAATGTCGAGCTCTATTTCTCTATCCTCACAATATACTAGACACTCAAACTGTTTTTCATTAGAAACAGTGAAATTTGTAGCATAGAATTTCTATGTCGAACATGTACTTATCTGACGAAACTTATTTGTGATTTGATACTTGATTATTTTCTTCGTTTACATTTTTCAATCCGGAGTACAGGTTCTATCCAATTTTGTTGTACATAATTAGTTTTTATCAAAGTGCGAAATGAAGAGACTTGCTGTAATGTGTCTTGAGACAAAATAGCACTAAAACACTTTTGAAACCAATGTAGGGAGACTCGACTTTTTTCATTCTTGGTGTCAACAAATGGTGATGAAATCATGTGAAGAGTAACTCCTTGCTATTATGAATTGAAGATTTCAATCGCTTTTAGCAAACTATTTAGGTAAAAGTTCATAATTAAATGTTATATAACGCTTAAAATTCTAAATTGAGAAGTTACATATCTCATTTCTTTTTAAATGCATAGTTGGTATCTCCCTCTGAAACTTTATGTAACGCAGTTTGTCTCAAAAATGGACTACTATTAATATTAACGACCAAACACTCACACAATTTGATGGTCGTACTTAAAAAGTTATTAATAGAGAAACAGGCAATATCTCTCACAATACTAATCAGTTTTTGATGATACGCAAAGGAGTGGTCCGCATAAGCGTCGAAATCGGCCCACGAAGTTATTATTATTTTATTGGCTCAATGTATCCAGAACTCATCAAAGTTATCTTATTCGGTGCTTTCGGCTTTATGGAACGATCCCGATTGGACGTATACGATCAAATTTACTCGCAGAGAAACACCCCCCGTCACACTATCAGTACTACGGTAAAATCAAAATTTCGCTGCAGCTATCCAGTGTTTAGCCTGCGTAATACACCATTCGATGCGTCTTGAAAAGTTCTACAAAATGGGTTAATAGGAAACCTAGCGAAGCCTGGCAGCGGCCGTTGTGAATTAGATACTACTTTTCCCTACAGATCCCCGCTATCCTATTCGAACTCTCGATCGCTTTTCTCTATGAAACTAAAGACGATCCCTAATCATTCATCCACCATTTGATGCGCCTTGAAAAGCTCTACAATATCTGTTAATAGCAAACTTAACGAAGCCTCGCAGCGGCCGTTGTGAATTAAATGCAACTGCCGATCACTTTTTCCTTTGAAACTAAAGATGATCCCTAATGTTTCATACACCATTCGATGCGTCTTGAAAAGCTCTACAATATCTGTTAATAGGAAACTTAACAAAACCTGGCAGCGTTGTTTGGATATTATATATACGTACAGTAGCTCCAAAAATTTTTCGCGGCGTTTATTTTTGATTTTTCTCATCGACGATAATAGCTAGAAGAAATTTGAAAAAGGATTTGAACAGCTGAAAGAATTTCTCGTCCGAGGTGCGGTTAAAAAGGTTCTATGGAAACTCTTGAAATCAAGGCCTCTTGAAAACCAAAATGTCAGAAAACCAAGTCCCCGAGTTCAATCCAGAAATTCTTGGCAAATAAATCTGTCGCGTAGAGCAAACATTCCTGACGAAAATGAGACGTATCCGAGCTCATTATGACATTGTTTCGTGAAATACTGTTAAATTTACGGACAGTCCCATACCAAGCTTAGGGCATTCCACCTAGAAAGCTCTACAATATCTGTTAAGAGCAAACTTAACGAAGCCTGGCAGCGGCCGTATGAATTAAATGCAACTGACGATCCCTTTTTTCTCTGAAACTAAAGATGACCCCTGATCATTCATACACCATTCGATGCATCTTGAAATTACGAAGAGTTTATAATTACACAAGTAATAAAAATACAAGCACAAGTGCTATGGAAATAAAAATACCACAAAAACGAAAAAAATACATTGGTTCAGTAAAATAAAGATACAACAAAACAGATATGTATAAAATGATCCGTCTTCGTGGTTGACACAGGCCTAAAGTTGATTTTTTTCTGCTGAAGATAGCATTACAAGGATCTCCTGAAAAAGAGAGTTAACCTCATTTTTATCCAAGCTTTTTGTTTCCATTTCACTTTTAGTTTCTTGAACTCTATCACATAAGAATACACAATCTTCTTTATTCCTAACAGTACCGCGTAATGTCAATGTAATTAAACATGGTGAAGGATTTGCAACACGATGATAGATGTGTGATGGAAGAGCATATGAGGTGCAATCATCATTGATCAGATCGTAGCTCTGTATTTTCGAACTTAGTGCTGTACCTGTATGCTCTTGTTCGTTCATTTGTCCAGTGTTTCGAAATCGATAGCACTCTAATAAGTCTTGATTCTTGCCGCTTTCACCCGACGAATTTAAGTACTGGAGATTTTTGTTATTGAATTTGACATGAAATATTTCGTGGCAATAACCTCCATGGATCATGATTGCAGAAAAATTACACTTGTGATTATGAATATCTTCCTTGAACGCAGCATTATTTTTCCGATAATGTAATCGACATTTGAAATGTTTTGTTGATAATAGTACGATTCGAATAAAACCCAGTGGATGTATTTGACGTTCATTCTGCTGTTCTTCGTCGATGACTATTTTTAGTAAATCACTTAAATGCAAAACTAACCAATGATTAACTATATGTAATGTTTCAAGTTCACCAATTTCAGCCGTAGTTAACGATAATAACGTATCTATAGCATCACATAGCATTGCCGAAGTTTTTATAACGGTATTATTCCAGATATTGTCCAAATAATTTTCACAAATCTGGAACCATTCATTAACATGATCAAGTGTAGTTAATGGGAATTTCCGTAACGATGCGTGGACAAATTTTGAATGTGTATCTAACGTTCTAAATGATAACATAATTTAGAATAAAGACAGTGAAACTCATGCTAAGCAGGTTTCTTTTATAGGTTTCGACTGTTGTAGAATGTTAGACTGAGAAGGGCATTTCCTAGCGTAACATATTTACTTAGCATGACGGTGGGGTGAAAAACTTTGTCCTCAATGAAAAAGTCAATAATTCTGTTATATTTCACAAAATTCTCCTTTAATTGGTAAAATTCTGATTTCATTTATATAAAGGATTTTTTCCTTCCTATTTACATTTGCACTGAAACTTCGAAAAAATATTCTAATTAAACAATGAAATTTGATATGGATTTGATTCATCAATATTTGATTATAACAGTGCCTGTAGTTCATGACTACTAGAATATTTTTTCGAAGTTTCAGTGCAAATTGTTATGATCTGCCATTCCTGGCAGCTCATAAGACTGCGTTTTCTTCTTCTTCTCCTTTCTTTCTATTATTGCGCAACTCTTGTTTCATTCTTTCGTTCTCGTTTCTTTCTGTTATTGCGCAATTCT